TGTGTCACTAGCAAAGATGATTATAAAATCCATGCCCTAATTTGGTCTTGTACATTGAACAACCCTAGTGTTGAAAATCCCACCGCAAAACAACAGGCTGGCTGCTGGGCTCTTGTGTGTGTCGGGGGGCTCCTCTGTGCTCTCTGACCTGCCAGCCTGGGTCTGGCACGGGAGGAGCGTGGGGTGGGGACACAACAGGCTCCCTACAGCCCGCTTCCATGTGGAGGTGGCTGAAGTGGGTGCCTTTTGCTGGAAGTGTGTTTGTGGGGCTGAGAGAAAGCAGGAGCTTGGAAAGAGGGAGGTAGGGGGCTGTGGAGAAGTTGTCCGAGTCTGTAGGCACCTGTAGCGGTACTGCCTCTTCTTTAAAGTCGAGTTCTGGCTTCTGACCTAAGCTGCTCCGGTGCCTTTTTTCTCTCAGCTGTGTAAAAGTGTGTTTTTAAATTCCACTGGCATCCCTGGATTCAGGGCTCCTCCCTCTGCATACAAGAAGCAGACAGAGCGTAGGGGCCACTATCCAAAATGACTGTCAGTGGGAACGGGAGACAGTGGGGGACTGACTATCTCGGGAAGAGCCTGTTTTGAGTGCATCACGTTCCGCAAATCCTCCTGTGGGAGTATTGTCAGAAAACAGGAGTGCCAACGTGTGGTGCTTGCAGCGCTGCGGCGGCAGCGTCTGGCCTGCCGGGAGCTGGGTGCGGGCAGGGCATGCCGGGGCTCGGCGTGCGGGGAAGGATGCAGGTGAAGGGGTGAGACCGATCCCTGGGAACTGGCCCTGAATTCCCCGGAGGAAAGGCGCTTGCTGGTGAGTCACGGCCTGGGCTGTGATGGGAAACTGTTGCTGGATAATTGAGTGATGGCTTTTTCCAGAAGTGCAGACAACAGGACCCTGAGGAGGCTCTCACCTCGCAGGGCAGCTGAAAGCTGGTTTTTGTCTGGGTTCAAGGTGGTGAAATCCTGCATTCCTGCAGATGTAAGCAGAGCGGGCTGTCCTTCCCAGGGTCTGCCTTGCACCCTTGGCCTCAGGGTGCCCACTCTGTTGAGGCGAGAAGGGGCTTTGAAAGGAGATGCAAGAGACTGCTCTCATTATGGTAGGAAACCAGTAAGAGGTTGAAAATACCAGTGCAGGTCTTGTCCCATTCATCCTTGGGCATGGACATGCAGCTGGGGAGCTCCTCACAATATGGAAACCTGCACCAAGATGGTGTCTTGGGGGAGACGAGCGCATGTCCTCAGCATGTGGCCGGAGTGTCACGGTGCCCTGCCGTTGGATGTCTGCTCTGCTCTTTCTGGAACTGCATCTGACGTGACCCACCTCTTTTCTTTTGGTGCTTCTGTCTTAACCGTGCGTTAGCTGATCTCTGAGCGTCCCGTTGCTCTGCTCCCCAGAACAGGGTGGGGCTGAGCCTCATTTCTGGCCCTTTCAAGTGCTGCAGTTACCAGGTGAGCACGAGAAGCAAAGGCAGAGAGAAGAGCATCTTGCAGACTTCCCCTGGCCCCTGTTCACATGGTGCCGGGCTGGGAGACAGCTCAGCCTGTCTGTTTTGGAGCTTGTCCTCTCCCACCAGCCCTGGACAACCCAAGGCAGCACGGTGGCCGTACTTGCAGTAGACCTGGGTTTATTAACCAGCCCTGTTGCACCCCACAGGATATGTAGGTCCCTCCCATGTGAGATGAACATGGGGTCTCACTCTGCTGTGGCTTTGTGATCTGAAGCTGCTGGATTCAAACAGGTATTGAAGTAGCTGCTGGTTTCTGCTCTAAAGTGGTTGTGGTAACTTTGACGTGGAAATGGCGCTGCTCTCCCCAAGGTCCCTGGGCAGAGATCCCTGTGTGGTGAGAGGCTGCAAACCAGAAGCGGCGTGGTGGTCTTGGGAGAAGGAGGATTATTTGGCCCCTTCTCCCCCCTCCACGTGCTTTGTGTGGTGCTGGGGAGGTGATGCCTTTGCTGCGGGCTGAGCCCAGGCATGGGGGTGCCTTGGAGGCTCTGGTAACCGCCCGAGGAGCAACAGCTTTGTGTGGACTTGGGGAAGTGAGTAGCTCTTTGGATCACCTGCCAAACATGCTCCTCCAAAACTGCTTTTTGAGGCAAGTGTCTTGTTTTGTGCACTTCTGCGTCCAGGATGGGGGAGTAAAGCGCTGCTTCAGCATTTGCTGGGCACACCAGGCGTTCTTCCCAAATCCTGTGCTGCAGCAGAGACCAGGGACAGGGGATGTTGGAGCAGCCTGGGGCTCGGAGGGCATCAGCGCTGGCCTTGCGCGGGTGGCCTTGAGCTGCTCTAAAATATACAGCAGAAATACCTTGGGGGAGGGGGGGACATTTTTTCTTCCCCCCCCCCTTTTTTTTTTTTTTTTTTCAATCCAAAATGAAGTCCTGCATCACAGCATGCCTCCAGCAAATCCCGGGGAAACTGGTTCAGCCAGCACCAGCCCGGGCACGGAGGGCACTGCCAGTGCCGGGTGCTCTGCCTGGCAGCAAGGGTTACACTGGGGATACGAACTGGGAGTAAATCGCTGGTCTATCTGCGTGGGGGTCTGTGCGTTCCCCGGGACCACTAGCCGAGGATGAGCCCTTGGTTTGATAATCCAAGTGTCACCTTTTAAATTTTTCCTTCTCTCCCTTTACTTTTAAAATGTCCTGGTAAGCCATGACACTGCACAGCCTGGGCCCCTGCCAGAGAGCCCTGGGGCTTGTGTTCCTGCTCACGCTGCCAGGCTCCTGGCTGCCTTGCTGCTTCGTGAACTCCCATTTGCCTTTCTTGGCTGGAAAAAGGATTAAGTTAGCAGGACAGGAAAATTAATTAGCTGCCATTTTAAGGATGTAGCTTTTGTTGCAGTCTGAAGTGTTTTGAAATGACATTGTATCACTGAGACCAACCTGGGGCTGATTAAAAGGCTTTTACCTGCCTGAATACCAGATTTATTTCCACTGTGGTTCTCCCCCAGGTGATTACAGCTTCAAGGTGAACATCAAGGCCAAATCAAAGGAGTGTTTTGCCTTCGCTGCTAGTGGCGGCCATGGAAAGCTGGTACTAAAGTTTTTTCTGCTTGTTTAACATTCAAAATAGCTTTTCTTCGCCCTTCCCCTCCACGCAGGCAGCCTGCCAGCTCGGCACAGGCACCGGCTGGGACAGCAGGGAACTGCAAAGCAAGAGCTGCAGCTTCCCGGCCTCGCCAAAGCTGGGGTGGTGGGGGCCCGGGGGGCTTCCCACAGGGAGCTCGGGGCAGCACCCTGGCCCCTGATGCTGTGGTGTGAGCCTCATCTGGTGGAAAATTGCTGCCTTTTGGTGCAGGTGACCCCCAAAAAGGAGCAGAAATGGTGCTATTCTCGGGGGTGGGGGGGGGGCTGTATCCAGTGGGAGGATGTGCCCATAGCTAATGTCCTTGCTGAAGGTGTCAGAGACGGAGAAGGGCGGCTCTGCTGCAGCACGGTGAAGGGTGAGGGAACCTGAAGCATGGGAAAGGAGTGATAAGGAAACCAAAAATCATTTTAGAGTTCAAAAGTAATCGCCATTCCCTGCTTTCTTTCTCCAGGGAGGAGACTGTGTCGGTGCTCCAGAGCACCGGGAAGGGCCCATTAGCCACCAGCTTTCCCGAGAAAGCTTTTTAACCCAGCGCTCGGCAGCAGCGGGGAGAGGCCACAGCAGCCTCACCCTTAGCAGGCAGCGCTAACGGGTCTCACAGCTGCACTTTGCTTTCCCGCACTGCAGCGATGGCTCCAGCGGCTCCGTCTCTGCTGGCATGTGGAGGGGAAGCACAAAGCTCCTCTGCAACTGTCGGACGCGCGTGGTCAGGAGTTACTTTCACAAGCAGTGCTATAGTTCAGCCCACGCTTGACTCTCTAGGAAAAGACTTCTGCTGGCCATGCTTCCACCCCAGCCTCTGATCTGGAAAGGGTAGTGATAGTGACTGATCTCTGACACAAACTGTGCTTCTCATCCCCTCACCTTGTGAGGGTCTAAATGACTCCTGCCCTCCTTAGCTTTAAACAAACATTCCCCGCTGAACTCCGGCTGGTGAGGAAGAGTAGAAAAAACCCCAGCAAAATTAATGCAGATGAAACCTGCTACCCCAGCAATGAATGCAAATTATCAGCACATTTGTTTTAGTATTTAATGTAGTAAAAACCTCACATCCTATAGCCAAAGCAATCAAGGCATGATGGCAGTAAATGAGCACTGGGCGAGGCTGGAAACTCTTCCTCTTCGGTCTAATCCAAGAAGCACTTGGCACAACTTTTGTTTTGCTTTTGAAGAAGGGAAGCTCATCTGTGAAGAACTGTCCATCGCAAGGTAAGCAGAAGGTAGCTTTGGGGACTGGTTGAGGTGCCCCTTAAAACCCTGATTATTGTTTTTATACACCCTCACATTTGGTGCTGGATGCTGACAGCTGCAGCGGTGCTGTAAGCAGATGAAGGGTGAGTCTGCTGCTCTCTCTGGTGCAATCATGATGGATGCTGTCGTTAAGCACACTCCTTGCTCTTTGGTAACTTTTCAACCTCCCCCAACAGAAAAGCAGAACAGCGAGTGAAAAGCGATCTTGCTCAAGTCCAAGATTTTAACTATCTCCAGCCCCATGAGTAGGCAGTTTCCCCCAGCAACTGTTGCAATAGCAGACCTTGCAGGAGCCTGTCCTGTGGGTTGGCAGGGGATTAGCACGTGGTAGAGAAGCCTTTACTGTGGTTCAGTGGAAGGCAGAAAATACATCAGCTTTGCCAGGTATATTGACTAGGAATCTCAAAGGTAGGCAAATCCCCAGGCTGATAATATTTCCCTCCTAAATGTTTTGTTTAGCTACTTGCAGCATGCTATTTTGATTCCCCGTACTGATCTTATCTTGGAGTAATGAACAACAGGCCAGGCATGCACTTTCACACAGAGCTGCCTTAACTAAGGCAAGTGCTTCTTGTCAATGCTAAGCAGCCACTTCCAAATATTGTCATCAGGGATTTGCTGCAGCAGGCTCCAGGGTGGTCAGAAATAAACTAATAAACTCCCAAAAACTTTTAAGGATATCAATTTTTATTGGACATTGCAAGATCAATAAGAAAAAATAATTTGTACAGCTTTGTGATATAACCATTGCTGCTGAGGAGTAAGGCTACTTGTCACGAGACCTGATGCAGCCAACAGTGTGTTGTAGCAGGACCCGCTCTGAGCAGCAGACGATGTTCTCTGCTCACCCCATCCCACAGCAGCACCTCTGCCTCGGGCAGGTCCACGTAGCCTTATGGTAACACAAATGGGGCTTCTTAGACATGAGGGGTGAGCAGCCCTGCTCTAAGAGACCCTCTGCGAGTGGCTAGCTGCCAACCACAGTTGCAGTATGTCTGGTACAGTGGTTACTGACCTCCTGCCTTGCTCCTCCCTCCCTTTGCTAGTTCTCTCCTCTGTGCCTCGCAAGGTCACCTGGCCAGTGTTCAACCCTCTCCTCCATGCAGCGGCTGCTGCACAGCAGCCCTCTTCCCCAAGGGAAGAGCTCTGTCCGCAATGGAGAGCTGACCTGATACTTACTATTTTTACAGCCTTCGGTGACAGCAGCTGGCAGGAGCTGATTTGTGATACCAGCTAGGGGGGAACCAGGACACTTTAGGAGTAATCTGGCAGCTCAGATGCTCTCAGCTGGCAGAGTAACCCTTTCTAACCAAACCCAGATGCTTGAGTGATTGTAGAGCAGCAGCTACAGATATTGCTCTAGCACTGGGGCACCCACTCCATAGGATGGGCAGAGCTAGAAAAAGAGGCTTCGATTTACACAGTATTTTTGCTAAGCTTCTTGCCTTTGACAGTTCTTAACAGTTTAAAAAAAAAAACCAAACAGATGCTAGGACAAAAGGCTGCGTGAGACATCCTCGGACTAGGCAAAATTCTAGTTGGCCCCATCAGTATCTCAAACTACCATCCCTCTGCTATATCAGGTAGGTGAAATGCCAGACCAAGACAAATTTTAGCACTGATTCAGCCCCTAAGGGCAGATGAGAATTTAGATGTTGGGAAGAGTTAAGGACTGTATCATCTGTCCTAATACATGAAATCAAGACAGTAATCTTAAATCAACAAAGGGCTCAGCTGGAAAAAAGAGATCAAATTGAGAGGCTGTTGGCGGAAAAGGGGATAGCTGTACCGTGACCAGCTGATTACCTGTACTGTGCTAGTGCCAGCAAACAAACCCGGCCGCTGGACCACTGACAGGATGGGTATTTCTTACTGATACTTAAATACTTTTCATAGAATATGACTAGGGAACTTGTATCTGGTGCCAATACCACATTCAGCCATCTGATGAACATTCCCATATTCACAACCAAAGAGAACATAAATACAGTGGGTAAACGAGCTGAGCGTGGTAAATTATCTACGTGATCAGACATGAGCTGCCTCCCCCACACAGGCACCGACTGTACAGCCACAGCCCAGGCAACGTGGGGCAACATGGGACAGTTTGCATTTAAATGAAGGAGGGCAACAAGAAAATAACGTGATAATGAAAAACTAGGAAAAAACCCAAATCCTTCACATGACTATTTTTCAGCATTGTAAAAAAATAAAAATGAAAGCAATCTTTTGACTTTCCGTGCCTACACCATGCAGGTCTCCTAGGCATTCTAGGAAGAGGAGACACTGCCCCTTTTTCTGCTGTTAAGTGATGCAGTGCACACAGTATTTCTGAAGGAGTTCCATAAACTGTAGTGCAAGCAAACAGAAAATAAATAGCACTCGAACATTCTCTCTTGTCAAAGAACATTAATTGCAGTAAAAACTAGCTTGCTTTTTGTTTTAACTGAAGTTAAGTCACCTGCAACTTGGTTTAATATCTGAAATTTTGAAGATGTGTTTCACAGCATAACTGTAGAATAATTTACACTGCATTGCCAATTCACAATTCAGTCATTTTCATTAACAGTGTACAAAGTAGGTCCTTAGTTTATATATATATACTTTATAAAGTCTGGAAGATCAATATAAATACTGCTCCAGAAATTAAAAAAGTGTTTACATCCCCGACTTGAATATTACATCTCAGTGTCCTGGATTATTATTATAATCTGTAAAAGTCTTAGCGGCGCAGAGGTTCAAGTTTTCGAAATTTCAGTGATGAGCTGGATGACAAAGCATCTTGGTTTGAAGAAGAATTCACTGTGTCTGGGGACTGGAACAATACTCTACCACGATGGTTAAATACATAAAAAGACGGATGGTTCCTTAATGTGTCAAATGTCCTTCAAAATAAATGTAAAAAGTCAATGTTAATATTATTTTAGAACAGGGGTTTTAGAAGAGTCAATCTAGGGTATACCAGCTTTTAGAGACACAGCAATACAAGTTTTGAATCCAAAATTCTTGCTCACTTTCTAAGTTTTCTAAACCAAACCACAGAAGGAAATACAAAGCCAAGCATGAAATACTGACTGCTCAATAGGCAGAGGTTGTCCACCCCAGAGACAAACTTCACCTTCCTTCCTTTGGCTTAGGGGCAGGGCTGTGGATTACTGCACACACACATGCCAAAGGTGCCAGCTTTAGTTCAGCTGTCACTTGTGTTAACACCTTGATGCTGTTTACTGTCAGCTTTCCATCCCTTTCTGTGCCTGAAGCTAAGGCGTTTAGGTAAAAGCGATGAAATATAACAATGTCAACTTGTTTACTTTCCATACACCCCTGAGTTTTTGGAAATGGCCAGAGAGGCTGTGTCTGCCCCTCCAATTTCACATCCTTTTCAAAATCTTGATTCAAATTTCCTTATTTACTCAGTCTTCCCAATATTCTGCCTTGGATAGTTCAGTGTGAGATTCAAGTAATTCAGACTCTGGTAAAGAAGTAAAGGCAAACAGAGGGCAAGCCAGGCATGCTGCCCCATGGTCTATGAGACCACCTTATGACAACAGTTTGTGACTGCTGAGCTCTTACTTCCCACGTAGACACTTCACTCCTCTACCAACTCTGCACAGCAGGATTTGGGATGAGGAAAAGCAAGAAGTTTATTTAATGTGTTCCAGTTATCTAACTCTCTCTGAAATTCAAGATGTTGGCTTTCCCAGGTGTGGCTGTTCCTTTCAGTGTTATTGTCTAAAACAGTTATTTAAGGACTGAGCTAAAGAGCGAGCTAGTTTGTCTAGAGTACCAGATACAGATGTTTATGAAAAGAAGAAATAAAACATACTTATTTTTTAGTTCTGAAGTGGCATCCATGTCTTTAAATTCTCCTGCGATATGTACTATCCCATAGCAGGTAACTGCAAAGGCTAACAGAGTTTGAAGAACTATCTGTAACAGAGGGACACAATGCAACACACATTACTTCATATTCTTAATATTTACTAAAAAATCTCTTCTTTCAAATAGCGTTTTTTGTGCTTCTCATACAGCAACAGTAAATGCTTTACAGAGGTGGGCAATTCAACAGGAGGGAAACCGAGGCACAGGAAGATTAAATACCCCGCCTATTTAGCATGGCAAAACGGTGGCAGAGCTGCGAAGAGCTTCAGCTACCTGACATCGTCTGTGTTGCACAAACTGAATTGATTCACACAGCTCCCCAGCAAGATCCTTAGAACAAAACACTGTGTTCTTGGGCACTTAAGGATCCAGTACTCTCTGAGAAACGAGTTGGCTGCCAACACACGCTGTGCAGCGGTGGCAGCTGCTGCTCGGTTCAAATGCCATGCCTGGTTCTTGTGGGTATTTGATCTCCTTACCCCTTCTGATTAAGCAAAAATGGAACAGTTAATAATCAAAGTGGAATTTAAAAACCAAGCAAATAAAACAAATTAAGAAAAATAACCTTCCTGAAGCAGGTTGTGCTGGGATCAAATGGGCATGCAGCCTGGATAAACCAATGTCAGCCAACAAAAGCCAGAGGGAGGAGAATGTTTATGCTGCAAAGGAGGAGATAAATGCAAAAGCTCTCTGAGCTACATTCAGGGAATTCCGGGACAAGATGCTTCAGGGTAGTTCTAAAGGAGAGGGAGGTTTGGACCTGGGGTTTGTTCCCTCTGACAGATACAACACACTGCAGGAAGTTGAGATAGAAGATATGGTTCTTTTTGACAGAGGGAGCTCAAATGAAAGTGCAAACGTGAAAACTACTTCACCATTTATTCTTTCCCATCACATTAAAAACCAAAAGCAACTGAGACACTAAACTATCCACACGGCATTACACCTTTCAAACGTTGTAATAACTTAAACTTACATCTATGGGCAATGTTTCATCTTCCTTTTCTGTTAATCTCATATAAGAACGATCTACAAAACAGAAACATACACACGCATCAAACACCCTGTATACGCGAATAAACGGCAATACACCCACTGCCCCAAACCCAAACTTGCTGCAGCTCATGGACGTGTGTCAGCCCCGACCATCCCCAGGCAGCCGGGCTGCTCCCGGTCTTGCTTGGAGACCCTGCTCTCCCCGAGCACGGCTGGCCCCGGACCCCGAGCCCTCCCCTCCTCGCTGCCAGGGTGGCGGACGGCTGCGGGAACGGCGGATGCAGGGGATGAAGGCGCGATCCGCCGGCCCTCCCCACCCTGCCCCGGCGCCTGCAC